AGACCATCATCCACTAAGGAAGTAATTTCTTTTGAAGCGAACATCGGTAAGAAATTGATCATTTCATCGACTAAAGCGTAGGATCGTTCACCTCCTTTTCACATGGATGTACTTATTTATCTACCTAAGAAGATGAAGGGTGAGTAATCCAGAAAGATTCCTAACAAATGATCCACTGAATGAAAGACTCTGTCTGAAAGCTGTATGTTGGCAGAAACGAAAAAAGTCAGAGGAAGTAAAGGGTAAAAGCAGAAATAAGTCTGCGATGTCCTTGCACAGGTGAAGAAGCTGAAGCAGCAATGCCAGACGTTCGAAGAAGAACTGATCATCACTCAATCAAACAAGCATTGCAATTGATTCCAAGAGATAACGAGCGGCCCATAGTAAGACCTCTAGATCAATGGCAGGAGGAGCTGAAGAAGTTCGCTGGATCAAGATGAAAAAATGGCAGAAAGATATATTTATGGCAAGACCTTTGGGATGCCTTTATGTGCATATACATATACACTTTAAATTAGATTATTCTGAACTGAAAGCGAACTATAAAATACAATACAATTTAAATGTAGAGACCTTTTAAAATATAGGAAACATGGCATTTACAGGCCGTTCAGTTCAGCACCAGCAGCTAAAACGATTTTTATAGTTCTCTTTCAGTTCAAAGTACCCCATTTTCAAGTATAGGTAGACACAAGGTTTACTTAGCGTACAATTTCACTTGGCCCAATTGAGATGTTTAGAATTGTGCTAGATCAGTCTTCAAGGGGACATTATATACCAACAACCAGTATATTTTTCTTCATTTCGCAGGGGCAGAGGCGACAACTTAGGAAACCTGCCTCATAAGAAGCTTAATGTTCGCACCAGCATGAAGAGCTGTAGTATTTACGTTATCAAAACTCATTGATCGTTAAAAACTAGATTAGTGTAAGACAGCGGAGTCATTCAGAATTGCAAAGCCGAACATTTCGAATTTACTGCTGCCCCGGCGATCGATTCATACTGTAACAAAAGAAAGCTATTTCTGGAAGTGGGTGCACATCACAGTCAACAGAAACAGAACTTGTAGCGACTATGTTAGCTCATTTGAAATTTCTCGAGTGCCGAACTGAACTAACTCCTCATTAAAGTGAATCACATATTCAGGACTTAAACCATAAACGGCCAACTTATTGCATATTTTATATTTAAACCGCCGGTATCAAATTTAAACGACGAAAATGTCGTGGTTGTACTTTACACTAATACTCCGGAAATGTAAGACCTGGAAGTTATCACATCAGGTCACACCGCAATAATGTACCTCCGTCTTTCTTGTAGTTACCTAGTCATGGTATTAATGAATCTGCAGTGCATCGCATGCAAGACCAAATCCCTGTGTTGCGCTGAACTATTCTGGTAGCTATCACAGAATGTCGGGATTATATTTTATTTTAAATTTTACTGGGTAAGTTATGGTGTCCGACGCCAGTTTCTCATTCTTCCTAATCCTTCCGTTGCTAATATTGCTAAGGATGACATCGGGAGACGAATCCTCATCTTTCCATTAATGCCTTGTTAAACGCCATTGAAAACAGAATTCAATTTTTCTGAAGATAAGACCTAAAGGTATGAGGCATTCATCGCTTAGAGTTCTTTCGCGTCAGGCCTGCAAAACAGAACTCGCTAATCTCGTCCTTCAACCATTCAGAGTTGCTTGTCTTCCATCCTTCTGAGGAATGAGTGCCACTACGTAGGAGAGCAGCGGAAGAGTAGGTACCGCCGCGGCAAACTGCAGATACTTCCATCATAAAATTTGGCATTTCTGCTGTTGGCATTACGGCGAAAATTAGAACCGCATCCTAAGCCCCATGAAAAAAGGATTGTATAAATCTTCTACTACGACGAAAGCGCAGGGGGGGGGGTCGACGTCCAGTCACAGACTTTCGCTTTCCTATACTTATATTGTGGAAAAACTTAAAAG